GCTTCACAACAACTTCGTGACTGTTCTTGAATGGCCCAGCCAGAGCCCTGACTTAAACCCCATTGAGCATCTCTGGAGAGACCTGAAAATGGCTGTCCACCAACGTTTACCATCCAACCTGACAGCACTGGAGAGGATCTGCAAGGAGGAATGGCAGAGGATCCCCAAATGCAGGTGTGAACTTGTTGCATCATTCCCAAAAAGACTCATGGCTGTATTAGCTCAACAGGGTGCTTCTACTAAATACTGAGCAAAGGGTCTGAATACTTATGACCATGTGATATTTCAGTTTTTCTTTTTTAATAAATCTGCAAAAATGTCAAAAATTCTGTGTTTTTCTGTCAATATGGGGTGCTGTGTGTACATTAATGAGGAAAAAAATGAACTTAAATGATTTTAGCATATGGCTGCAATATAACAGAGTGGAAAAATTTAAGGGGGTCTGAATACTTTCCATACCCACTGTATGAAAAGCCCAGTGGAACTATGATATTTTTAACCTCAACCTGTTTCCTCTTGCAGTGTGCAGTATCTGATTATTGGAGTCCTTGCACTGTAGCATCCTATAATAGAGCAATAGGAAGCATATTGACCTTGCTGGCTGATAGCTCTTTTTTGAATTTGACATCAGCACCTTTAGTTGTGACTCATGACTTTGGGCCAAAGAGTAATGGGGTTATATAACCGCAAACGTTGTCCTAGATGCACTTTCAGTGTGACTGCACTGTAAGGACCTGACTGCACTGCCTGCAGCCTAGTAGTCATCGGGGACAGTCCTTGTGTTTTTTGCTCTCTGGACACTGAGTAAGCCCCATACACTCATCATCACCACCATCATTAGCTGGACTTATGTAACCGTCCTTACTAGAGTAATGAGGTTGTCTTTACTCAGATTAACACTGAAGGCTAGGTTGTGACAAGGGTTAATGCCAGCTGATGGTTCTCTGGCACCTCATTCTGAGAGCATGTTGCATCTATACATAAACGCACGCAGTGCCACCATAGGTGGATTGGCCATTTAAAGACAACAAAAAATGTGTACTTTCTTTACACCTTGACTCTTAGTATCAGTTCAGCTGTGTTTGTAGCATCATTATGTCAGCTAGCATCTGCTAATCTTTAATAATCAACTAATAAGCAAGCTTTCAACTTGAACACAGTAGGTTCAACTCTGGTATGTGTCCAGGCATTTGTAAAAAGTATTGACACTAACAAAGTAAGCAAAGTGGTACAGACTGCATAAATCTATGCGACCATGCTGGAAGTTTCTCAAAGATGAATCTCACCCAGCTCAAACATTTTTTAAACATACTTCCTTCAAAAAAGATCGAGAACTTCTAGAACCAAAACAACCAGGTTCAGAGACAGAACTTTTCCAGATGCTGTTTGCCTTTAACTTTGAAATGATTATTATTCCTAAGATTTTATTGGTTATTATTTATTATGGGAATTGATACATTTTAGGTTTTTTTTTTTTTATCATTTTCTCACCAAGTGGATGTGTGTGAAGATGGATGCAAGGGTGTTAAATTATTGGTAGTCTTCTTTTATGTCTTAATTGTTTGACACTTGTTATTGTTGGTCATCTGTGCTCTCATCTGTATTGTTTTGTTTCAACTATGAGCTCACCAATTCCTATCAGCTGTGTTGAAATGGCAATAAAGCATTGAATTGGATTAAATATTATTGGGATTGTTAGATGGCTTGGTGCACTGCCAGTGCATGAGGTCCTATCCCTCTGCATAAACATTTCATCTGTACATCTGTGTTAGCGTAGTGTTACCCAGGACAACAGCACATTTGCAGACTTCTTCATCACAGAAATCAGGCATCTTGGCTTTTAAAACAACTATATTTGTAGATGTTTTCAGACACTGAGGTCAAATTTTAGTTTCACACACAAGGCATGGTGGTGGAGTGCTTCAGAATCTTGAGGAAGCCACTGTTAACCTGTTGTGCAGCTCACAAGACGGCAAATAATTATAACAATGCAGCCAGTTCACAGTTTCTACAAAATGGCATTATAGGCTACACACACAGGATCCTAGCTCACTGCAGTATTCCAGTTTTGGTATCTATAAATTAAATTTAATTAATTAACCATTTGTTTTGTGTCTTGTTTCCTTTGAATAACAAGCGGTAAAGAGGCTGATGAAAGAAGCTGCTGAACTGAGAGATCCCACAGAGCACTACCACGCACAGCCACTGGAAGTAAGTTCACTACAGAACAAAACAGTGCTACTGCACCATTTTTGACTATTTACTGTATAGTGTATTTCTTACATTACATTACTCGCTAACAACGATGGCTGCCTTGGTCGCACGAGCTCTCTTGTGTTTGTTGTTTTTCCTTGTTTTTTTGGTCTCTTGCAACCCATCCTGGATTACTTTCACCAGAGAAGAACTGTAAAATATAGGACAACTCACACCAAACTACCTTTCTCCAATTTTTGTGAATGAAGAATGCTGTGTGGACATTCTGATTGAAGGTGCAGCTGCTATCTACAGGACCTGGAAAAAATGCCGGCTGGGTAAGTGGGCGGGCACCTTAGTCGGGCTTCACCAGAGGGGGACACCACTCCCATCTATCCACCTAGCAAATCTCCGCTCCCTGACCAAAAGGATGGATGAACTTCTCATCAACAGGACTAACTCTGACTTTGCATGCTCTGCTGCTTTATACTTTGTGGAGACTTGGCTCAGCGACTCCATAGTGGACAGCACAATACAAATACCAGGCTTCCAGGTGTACAGAGCTGATCATGTAATGGAGCTGTCCAGGAAAAAGAGAGGAGGTGGAATCTGTCTCTACATAAATAAAGGTTGGTGCACAGATGTTACGGTGCTACAGAAAACATGTAACATGGACTTAGAGACTCTTTTTATCAATTGCAAACCTTTTTATTCTCCTGGTGAATTTTCGAGTTTCATTATAGTGGGAGTGTATTTAAGTCCAAAGGCACATGCTAGCGCACTACAGCTCCTAGCAGAACTGATAACTAGCATAGAACTGGAACATCCCGACTCCTCACTCATTGTTCTAGGGGACTTTAACAGAGTAAATCTCACCCAAGAACTGCCCAAATACAGACAGCATGTCACCTGCCTCACCAGGGACAAAATCACACTGAACCACTGCTACACAGCAATTAAAGATGACTATCGCTCTTTGCCCTGCGCAGCCCTCAAGCTCTCTGATCACTGTATGGTCCATCTTATTCCAACCTACAGCCAGAAACTTAGTTGTGAAGAGTGAAGAGCTGGACTGAGCAGGCTAAGTCAGAGCTACAGGCCTGGTTCGACTGTACAGATCGGGGTGTATTTGAGGCTGCAGCTACAAACCTAGATGAACTCACTGACACTGTGATCACCTGGTAGACAACCTGAATGCATTCAACTCAGGTTTGAAACTCAACACTCCCCCCTCACTCTCCCCACCTCTAATGATCTGTGAAAAGGATGTATGTGGCCTCTTTATAAAACAAAGGATCAGAAAGGCACCAGGCTCAGATGGCGTGACTCCCTCCTGCCTGACAGTATGCTCTCCTCCACGCCAAACTCACCCAGCTCACTGTGCCTGCCCCCACCTGTCAGTGGATCACTAGCTTTCTGACAGACAGGAAGCAGCAGGTGTGGCTGGGGAAAACCACATCCAGCACCTGGACAATCAGCACAGGTGCCCCCCCATGGATTTGTGCTCTCCCCTCTGCTGTTTTCACTCTACACCAATGACTGCATCTCAAATGATCCCTCTGTTAAGTTCCTAAAGTTTGCAGATGATACAACAGTCATTGGTCTCATCCGAGATGGCGATGGGTCAGCCTATAGATGGGAGGTTTAGCAGCTGGTTCTATGGTGTAGTCGCAACAACCTGGAGCTGAACATGCTCAAAACAGTGGAGATGACAGTGGACTTCAGGAAGAACCCCCCCCATACTTGGCAGCACAGTATCAGCAGTAAAATCCTACAAGTTCCTGGGCTCCACTATCTCCCAGAACCTGAGGTGGTTGTCCAACATCAACGCCATCATCAAGAAGGCACAGCAGAGGATGTATTTCCTGTGTCAGCTCAGGAAGTTCAATCTGTCCCAGGAGATGCTGATACAGTTCTACAGAGGAATCATCGAGTCTGTTCTCTGTACCTCCATCACTGTCTGGTTTGGCTCAGCAACCAAACAGGACAGGAACAGACTCCAACAGACAGTCAGGACTGCAGAAAAGGTCATGGGTGTGAGCCTGCCCTCTATGGAGAACCTGTACACCTCATGGGTCAAAAGGACGGCAGAGAAGATTTCTGCAAACCCCTCACACCCTGAACACAATCTGTTCGAACTTCTCCTCTCTGGACGGCGTTACAGGCCACTGTGCGCCAAGAAAACCAGGCACAAGGACAGTTTCCTTCCCCAGGCTGTCACTCTGATTAACACTTTACCCATGACAGTATGACTGGTCATTAACCCTCAGTGCAATACCTGAAAATACTCTATTGTGCCTTGGACACTGTTTGTCTAAGTATTGTTTTGTTGTCCTCTAGACGTTATGAGGAGTAAGGGTACTGTATTGAGGTTTGTTGATTTAGAGGTGATGTAGTTGTTGGAGCTAACATACAGTGAGGAACAGAAGTATTTGAGGTTCTGGAGTGGCCTAGCCAGTCTCCAGACCTCAATCCAATAGAACATCTTTGGAGGGAGCTTAAACTCCGCGTTGCTCAGCGACAGCCCCGAAACCTGACAGATCTAGAGGAGATGTGTGTGGAGGAGTGGGCCAAAATCCCTGTTGCAGTGTGTGCAAACCTGGTTAAGAACTACAGGAAACGTTTGACCTCTGTAATTGCAAACAATTATTATTGCAAACCTGATTTTTCTCAGGTGTTCAAATACTTATGTTCAGCAGTGCTAGACAAATAAATTCTTTAAAAATCATACAATGTGATTTCCTGAATTTTTTTTTTAATTCTGTCTCTCAGAGTGGGAATGGACCTTCAATGTGAATTTCAGACTCCTCCATGATTTCTAAGTGGGAGAACTTGCAAAATCGCAGGGTGTTCAAATACTTCTGTTCCTCACTGTAGCTTTGAGCATATTATTAGCACTGCTAGTTGTATGACTCGATAGCTTATGTTGAGCAGTGAAACTGTGTTGTGCTTAGTTCTGTTTGTCGTTTGTGCTTTGTTGCAGTTAAAAAAAAAAAAAAAAAAAAAAAAAGTAATTCGTCATTGAATAACAAGAAGCGATGTCTTGTTTTTATTGAGGAATTACACCCTGTTAGCTGTCTGTCTAGCATTGTTCACGGACTACTCATGGCGAGGACACTACAATAGGGTCCGGGGTTCAAACCCTGGTCATGCCATGGTCAGTATTCAGCCTGGGCCCTTAGGCAAGGCCCCTAATGCTACCTGCCTACCTCATGGGTAATGAGGTGTGGAAAAACAAGAGTCACATCGGCTCGGATGTCACCCAGGTCAACAAGATCTGCGTCAGGTGTTGAGGAACGAGGGCACCCTGATAAGTGGGCTACTGTAACAAGACAAGGTACAACACGAATGCTATGACAAGGGAGAGCCAGGACAACAGGTCGGGGGGAGATATCACCCCCACAATCGGAGATTGGGTACCAAGCCCCAGTAACAAGCCCAGATGAACTTTATGCAAAGGCAGCGAGATTGAAGATCATGACCAAGATGGACACCTGAGACTTCCATGGCCGGTTACCAAGACTAAGTGAAGTGCCTTCTGAAAGTCTACTAGAGGATGTGAATGCAGCACTAAGAACAATCCCTACTACCACCATCACTGAGACCAACAAGCTGATATACACCACAGCAACTGTGATCCTGGAGATGCTTGGCTATAAGTTCAACAAAGGCCACAAGGAGCAGTGTCCTCCATGGAGAAGGAGGTTGGAGGCCAAGATCAAGGCAACAAGGAGAGAAGTTAGCCAGCTATCGAAATTGCAGAAAGGCATGAAGAAGAAAGGGGTACTTAAGAAATACAGTACAACACACTGTCCATACCTCTGAGGCCTTAGAGATTGCCAAGCAAAGGCTCACAGCCCTGGCCACCCAGCTGAAGAGGTACACCAGAGAAGTTGAAGCCATCAGTACGTATGCGGATACCAAGGCATCACATAACAATGCCCAATGGCTGGTGGACCTGAGAGCAGACCACAGCACCCTCCCTGAACAAGATCCAGTAACCATCACAATGGCAGACATCCAAGAGAGGGTCTCAAGTATGAAGAGTCGGACAGCACCAGGCCCTGACATGATCCACACCTACTGGTTAAAGAAGTTAACTTCACTCCATGAGCACCTGGCAAGACAAATGAACCAGCTACTAATGGATGGAACCCACGCTGAGTGGTTAACTGAAGGCCAGACAGTCCTGATCCTGAAGGACCCTCAGAAGGGAGCAGTACCATCCAACTACTGCCCAATAACCTGCCTCTGCACAACATGGAAGCTCTTGTCAGGCATCTTAATAGCTAAGATGAGCAGGCACATGGCTCAATACATGAGCAGCACCCAGAAAGGAATTGGTAGTAACACCAGAGGAGCAAAGCACCAGCTACTGGTTGATAAAGTAGTCACTCGAGACTGCAAGACCAGACATACCAACCTGTGAACTGCCTGGATTGACTACAAGAAAGCCTATGACTCAATGCCTCACACATGGATCCTGGAATGCTTGAAACTGTACAACATCAACAAGACTCTAAGAGCCTTCATCAAGAACTCAATGGGAATGCGGAAAACAACCCTAGAGGCTAACTTCAAGCCAATTGCGCAAGTCAACATCAAATGCGGTATCTACCAAGGAGATGCTCTGTCCTCACTGCTGCTGTACTGCATAGCACTGATCATCACCAAGAGTGGTTACGGATACCAATTATGGAATGGAACAACTATCAGCCACCTCCTCTACATGGATGACATCAAGCTGTATGTTAGGAGTGAACGAGACATCGACTCATTGATCCACACCACTAGGATTTACAGCCAGGACACCGGAATGTCATTTGGACTGGATAAGTGTGGTCGAATGGTAACAAGGAGAGGAAAGGTAGTCAGGACTGAGGGGATTCTACTACCAGAAGGCAACATAGCACATGTTGTGGACAGCTATAAGTACCTTGGGATCTCGCAGGTAAATGGGAACCATGAAGAGGCCGCAAGGAAAGCAGCAACTACCAAGTACCTGCAGAGAGTAAGGCAAGTCCTGACAAATCAGCTGAATGGAAAGAACAAAATCTGGGCGATTAACATATATGCCCTGCTGGTCGTCAGGTACTGTGCTGGCATAATAAGCTGGCCAAAGGAGGAGCATCCTGAGACTGTACACTAAACGGAAGGAAGGAGGCCGAGGATTAGTGAGCGTCAGGGCCACTATCCAGGATGAAACGACAAAGATCCATGAATACATCATGGAGATGGCCCCAAGTGATGACGTGCTTAGTGAACACCTCAGGCAGCAGAAACCAGAGGAACAAGGGAAGGAAGAGCAGGAACCGTCATGGAAGGACAAATCCCTGCACAGTATGTACCACGGTCAGATAGAAGAAGTGGCTGATATCGAAAAACCTTACCAGTAGCTGGACAAAGCTGGATTGGAAAACAGCACAGAGGCACTAATCCTCTGCACAGGAACAGGCTCTAAGTACAAGATCATTAGAGGCCGCGGTCTACTATACCAGACAGGACCCTAGGGCAGCTGTGCAAAGATGCCCCTGAGACAATCCAGCACATAACAGTGGGGTGCAAGATGCTAGCAGGCAGGGCATACGTGGAACGCCATAACCAAGTGGCTGGCATAGTGTACAGAAACATCTATGCCGAGTACAGGCTGGAAGTCCCAAAGTCAAAATGGGATACACCTCCAAAGGTGGTTGAGAATGATCAAGCTAAGATCCTGTGGGACTTCCAGATACAAACTGACAAACTGGTAATGGCCAACTAACTGGACATAGTAGTGGTGGACAAACAGAAGAAGAAGGCTGTAGTGATAGATGTAGCAATCCCAAGTGATGGCTTCTTGTGTTCCTGGTGTTGCTAAGGAATACCAAGGGCTGAAAGAGGAGCTAGAAAAGATGTGGAAGGTGAAGGCACAAGTGGTCCCCGTGGTAATAGGGACATTGGGGGCCATGACCCCCAAACTGGAAGAGTGGCTCCAACAGATCCCAGGAACAACATCTGAGATCTCTGTCCAGAAGAGTGCAGTCCTAGGAACAGCTAAGATACTGCGCAGGACCCTCAAGCTCCCAGGCCTCTGGTAGAGGACC